GGAGGTGGAGAGGATAGGGCACTGAAAGCAAGAACGGCCCCTCCAGAGATCTAGGAAACCCAAAATCCCAGTGTTAGCACTGGAAGCCTCTGGAGAGGAGAAGGTAAAACTGAAACATGATGTTGGTAGTTTATGTAATGAAGAGAGTTTGGAAAGTGAAAAGTTTGTGAAGAACACAGGCTGAGGAAGGCAAAAATGAGCAGGGTGTGACTGGGATGTCAGGACCAAAGAGAGGTGAGTGATGTGAAGGAAAAACAAAACAGAAACAAAAAGGAAAAAAAAAACCCAAAAAACTGAGAAAAAGAGATTGTAAGGAAACTGGGAATAACAGCAGCTGCTACTGTTGTGGCACTAGAGTAGGGCTGTAGGACCCAGAGATCCACTCAGAGGTGGGAGGGGGAGGCTGGAAGAGTCCAGGAGGACTCCGTCCCACTGGAACTAAAACTGTGCAAACTGTAGGGAAAGAGGGAACTGTCTCTGTTTGCAAAGCTGAAGGATGGGAACCTGGGAAGTTTATCCTAGCAGATCCACTGGTTAAATTGCAGCTAGGGGAGCAGGATGAAGAGTGGATTAATCTGAACAGTGTTACCCAGGGTTGTGAGAACAGCTCAATGATTTTCGAAAAGTGGTCAACTCAAGAACCTTAGACTTGGGTTCCTCCATTGCAGGGTGGAACCTTACTGCAGTACGTGGATGTCCCAGAAACAAAGAGGACTGTGTGCAACGGACTGTGAGTTTGCTGAATTTCTTGGTTTAAATGATTATCAAGTTTCTCAATAGAAAGCACAAATAACTCAGTAGCAAGTAACATATTTGGGATATGAGATTACAGCTGGACTTGAAACCTTAAGGACTGTCAGGAAAGAAGCCATCTGCCAAACCCCTGAGCCACAAACCGCCAAGGAACTCCATAGGTTCCCAGGAATGACAGGATTGTGTCAACTGTGGATACACAGCTATGGACTGCTATATGAAAAGGGGAGGTAAGGAGGGCATTCTGTCAGCTGAAACAAGAACTCATGAAGGCTCTGCTTTGGGGCTACCAGCTTGCATTAAAAAAAAAAGAAAAGAAAAAACAAGGAATAGCCCTAGGGATCCTTGTCCTGAACCTTGGACCCATCAAAGGACAGTGGCACACTTCTCCAAACGGCTTGATGAAGTAAGGGATGGCCGGGGTGCTTGAGGGTGATAGCTGTAACTTAATATTTGAGAAGCCAGTAAAGCTATGCTAGGCCAAAGAATAACAGTTTTAATAACTCATACAGTGTCTAATGTATTGGAGGTGAAAGGGGGGCACTGGCTCTCACCCCAAAGGTTCCTGAAACCCCAGGCCATCTTGGTAGAGCAGGATGATGTAGAATTAATTGTAACTACTATCGTCAACCCAGTATCTTTCCTTAGCAGAACTCCTGGAGGACCAGCATTTCATGACAGCTCTGAAACAACTGAAGCTGTATATTCCACCCGATCGGACCTGAAGGACAAACCCTCAGAAGACGCCTGGCTTACCGATGGTAGCACTTTTGTGAGACAAGGAAACCGTAAGGCAAGATATGCAGTAGCCGCTGCTGACAAGGTAATCAAAGCACAACCATTACCCGAGGGGACTTTCCCTCAAAAGGCTGAAATAGCTGCCTGGACAAGAGCCTTAATTATATGGACAGATGCTAATTATGTATTTGGGATGCTACGCACACATAGCACCATCTGAAAAGAGCGAGGATTGCACACACAAGGAAAACAGCATGATGTAAATCTACCAAAGAGCGCACTGCTATACATTGTAAAGGACATCAGAAAGGTAACACTGTACAGGAAACTGGAAATAAGATGATGACGGGTCAAGTGGCAGGACAGGTAGTTAGGGAAGGCTTTAATTGCAGGCAGTAAACTTAAAATCTCTGAACCTGAGTAAGAACCTGTAAAATATTCTAGAGAGGATAGGAATCTAATTAATGATTTAGAAGGGAAGCTAACAATGAGAAACTGACTTCTCAAACTCCCAAGAAAAGGCAGGAAGTCACTGTACGTTGGTTCTAACTGATACCTTCTTACAGTGGCCAGAGGCATTCCCCTGTAGAACTATTAAGCCATGTGGGGTAACTAAAGTATTGTTACACGAGGTTATTCCGAGATGCTGAGGAACTACTTGGTCTGTTAAGGAAAGTACAGCATCGAAAGCTAAACTCGAAAAGAAAAGAAGAGTCAGTCACTAATTTCAGTGTACACAGTATGGTGTCTGTAGCAAGTTGATGTTGTGTGCTGTTACATTTTGTATTTTGGTTGCAGTAGTACTATATTTTGTATTACATTCATTTCTTATTGTTAAACATATGATTCTCACTCTTCTCCCTTCTATTTGGATCAACCTTACATTTCTATATTTAACAGAGGCTGCTGTTAAGGAAAGTAATAACACTCTCATTAGTGGGCATGAATATCATAATGGAAGTAATATGATGAGCAGGTGTTGTTTGGGTAAAGATTTCTGGTGGCTGGGCAGAGATTGGAGAGCTCAAACTCCCACCAGGCATAGAGAGAACTATTTACAGACAATATCAAAATCCAAGGAGGGTTGAAAGAGTAAATAACCAATTGGTAAGGAATAATACAAGGTACCAAGCCCTTATCCTGGTCTTAGCTGGAAAAGGCTATAGTGAATATCGCTGCAACTCTAGAAATAGTAGAAAATGCCACAACAAATGCATTACGAGCAATCCAAGAGGAGGTATCCTTTTTGTCCAAAGTGGTACTCCAAAACAGGATGGCATTAGATCTATTAACAGCTAAAGAAAGAGGGGTATGCAAAAGAATAAATTAGAGTTGCTGTGCTTACATAAATAAGGATCTCAGAATTGAAACAGACTTAAGGAAAACGTGGGGGCAAACAAAAGTCCTGCATAGGACAAGCATTGATAACACTGGGAAATAAATCTATGGGGCTCACTTGCTAGCTTGTTACTGAATCTAGAATAGCTAAAGTTTTTCTTGGCATACATCATACTGGTACTACTGGTGAGCCTTATCTGTGTGGTAATGAGGTGCTCTATCTGCCTGTGCTGGAATACTAGAAGGGAATATGAGCTATGGAAGAGACTTGAGTAAAGCAAAAGGTGGAAAGCGAAACTTATTTCACATGTTAAGAAGGATTTCCACCTGCTAGATTAAAGAAAAGGGGGGAACTGAAGGTGAGAAGTGCCCCATAAGTGAAAGTAAAAAGACAAAAAGGCTTCACAATGACTAAGAATAAGGGGATAAAGGGGAATAGTTAGTTTATAGAAAAAAGAATGTAGAGCTTGTTAGAAAATAAAGGATGGCAGACACTGGGTCTGGGACAGTGAGGGATGAAGGCCTTACAGATTAGGTTTGAGAACAGCCCGAGGACATCTGGCAGGGAGGTGATTAGATGATCTTCGACCCACTGTGCACAGCAAGAGGGGATGGTCTGCATGCTAACAACTCAAGAAGTGTAATGAAAATGGACCCAAATTCCAGGAAAACTATTGATTATGCATTAGTTTGGCCTATATCTGTAGCAGGATTTTTACTGACACTGTGCAAGTCAGACGGATCTATCCGCCTTGCAGCCGGTGTCTGCGCAGCACTGAACAAACCGTACCTGCTTTGGAATCTTGTTTGGGTTACAGAGTTTGATTCTGCACGTCAGAGATGAGGTTTTTCAGGCTGGTAAAGGTCTTAAAGGGAGCTTATGAACAGGAGGGAAATCAACATGGGTAGATAGTGACAGGACAAGCGGGAATGATTTTAAACTAAAAAAGGAGTAGACAAATATTGATGTTAAGAAACTTTTTACTACAAGGGTGATTAGATAGAGGAACAGGAGTTCTGACACTTCATCACTGGAACTGTTCAAGTCTAGGCTGGATGGGGCTTAGAGCAATCTTACCTAATGGAATACATCCCTTCCTATGGCAGAGAGGTTGCTCTATATGATCTCTCTGCTACCACAGAAGAGGCTGCCTTTCACTGCACCAGTAGGTCTAGTTACCAGAATCCAGACAGGTTAGCAGATAAGAGAGGTTTGTATACCAGTCAGTGGAGGCAGTACAGGTCTTAGTTCAAACAGCTAGAGAGGCAAGATGTATGCAGACCTACCTGTCAGCAATTACAGAGACTAGGTTGTGGCTTATTCAGCTCTAGGGGAATTACAAAATGACAGAATTGTAGGGGTTGGAAGGGACCTCCAGAGATCATCGAGTCCAACCCCCTGCCAAAGCAGGTTCCCTACAGCAGGTCGCACAGGTCGGCATCCAGGCAGGTCTTGAACATCTCCAGAGAAGGAGACTCCACCACCTCCCTGGCAGCCTGTTCCAGTGCTCCTCACCTCACTGTACAGAAGTTCCTTCACACATTGGTGCAGAACTTCCTATGCTGCAGTTTCCAGCCATTTCCCCTTGTCCTGTCTCCACTCACCACTGAAAAGAGTCCGGCCTCACCATTCTGCCCCCCACACCTCAGATATTTATAGACCTGGATCAGGTCCCCTCTCAGTCTCCTTTTCTCAAGGCTGAACAGACCCAGTTCACTCAGCCTTTCCTCATAGCAGAGATGCTCCAGGCCCTTCACCATCTTGGTGGCCCTCCGCTGGACTCTTTCCAAGAGATCCCTCAGCCTAGGAAGAGAAATGCTCATTCCCAAAGTCCACTAGATTTTGCAATGATTCATAACATCTAGTAATAAATTTAACAGAGCCTACGTAGCAAAGACCAACTTACTATTACTGTGCATCTCTACAGAGAGGATCTGTGGGGAAAGATTTTACAATTCAACATGTATGTTAAGTTTCCTTTTCATTTTTATACAAAATTTCTGTACAAAGACTGAGTAGACATAAAAGTGTTTAGAAGCTTTTGTTATCATTATAATAATACTGCATCCGTGCTAACACTCCAGATTTGGGAATTCTCCTCACAGTCACTAAATTGGCAGAAATAAAAAAAGTCATTTAACCCAAGGAGAAGAAAAAAAGCCACACTTACTTCATGGGATTGTTTTCTGGTAGATAGTATATCAAGTCTCTCATGGTCATTTTAGTGCGATCTGGCGGAGAACACCCTTCAATTATTGGAGGCCTGTGTTTCAGTTGTTTCTGTATAAAAGCAAAAAAAATTCATTTCAACCAGGAAGTACTTTTTATTTCATAAATAGTATTATTTGCTTATTACATACTGTAGTTAAGTGAAGTTTGTTCTTTTGTTGGTGGAATTTGGAGGTTACTTTTTTTTGTTTGTTTGCGTTCACACTGAACTGGTAAGTTTATGATAAAGTGTATATTTATCAAAGAGGCCATAAGAAATTCACCCTCTCAGACATATTCAACACTTGGCAAAGCTAAGTCACGTAACTCAGTCAGCAAAGGTCTAGAAATCCCAAATCCCAAGGTTTTTTTTTTTTTTTTTTTTTTTTTTTTTGTTTGTTTGTTTTTTTTTACAGCACACTTCACCACAGCATTTTCAGCTGTAAAAACTCACATGCTAGTGATGATACAGTAGCATGCTCTCACATTTAAAAAGGTTAAGTCTAATGAAAAGTAAAGATACCTAATTTCTCATGACATGTATATAATGAGGGAACACAGCATTGCTACTGCTTATAAATTAAATCCCCACAGGGCTATTGACATATCATGAAGTATTAGCAGTACGATTATTGTCAGGAAACACTACTACAAAGAAGCAATGATAATGTTGGGTAGATAACATCTTTCTCTGCCCTTCATAAATCAGCACTGCTCAAGGTAGAAGCCTACCATCCGTTCTTTCTTCAGCTCTTCTTTAAGCATTTCTCTTAACTTCCGAGCTTTGAGGATCCTTTCACGGTCAGAACATATTCGTTTCTCTTTCACAGGAGATGGTTTTGGAGGTAGCTTTTCCTCCTGTGCCACTGATGTTTCCTGTGTTGGCCTCTCCTTAAGAGGGGAGGGTATGTTCTTCAAGGTATCGTCATTTTTTTGAGCAGCTACACTTTGCTCTTTGTTCATTGATTTTTTTAGTGGGGAAAACTGTGGCACTTGTGGCACAGGTGTTTTCTTTTCAGGTAGCATGGGAGACTTTGAAGAGCTTTCAACATGACTTGTCTCTGATGGAGGAGAATCCTTCTGAAGCGAAGCACTGCCATCAGGAACCTGTGATGCTCGCCTTTGTGGTTTTGATGCAGTGTGCAGATCAGATGAAGGTCCAGCTCTGGGTTTGACAAGATTGGGCATAGTGGAAATCCGTTTTCTTCTCTGTGTAGGCATGTCTGTAGGTTTACTGGCTTCTCCAGCATCACTTGAGCTGTTAGTCTTCTCATCACTGGAAAATGTAAGAGATCAGTCTGAAATACTCTACAGTGACAGATTTACAACACTTGCTATCAGAACAGCTAATGCTGTATATAAACACAGAAATAAATAGTAAATAGAATAGTAATAAACACAGAAAAATACAACTGTATACAAGAAGCCACAAATGAACTATCCAATACCTGTCACTGCCTCAAACTAATCAGATATGAGAAATGGCCTATTTTCAAATACTAAGTACTAATGCTACAAAGTAGTTGACCAACAATGTCAAATTCATACATTCCTCTTTTGCGAGGCTCTAACCTTTTTATTATAATATGATATTTCATGGTATGATGAAGTTAACAAACATACGTAAAAGTACTGCACACAATGCGTTACATGTTAAAAACATTTTAATAAAGGTATGCACAAGTAGCCTTATGATTTTTCACTGGAATCCATGCATTCCTCTAATACAATAGGTAAAATCTAACCTGTGCTGTTGCTTTTTTTGTTTGTTTGTTTTTTTAAGAGCATGAAAAATTTCAGGAGTGAAACTGGCTGCTTATTCACTGAACACATTAAGAAAATGTACTTCAGGGGACAACATCTTCTAGCCTTCCTTGGAAACTTCCTTATTAAGGTACTGTTTTAATCTCTTATATAGAAAGAATTTTCCAAGTGTAAGCAAAATTGTTCATCATTATTATCTTAAACAGTTCTAGTATTTGTCTCCTTGGCTGCTTCTCACAGTAAAACTGCAGCAGAATTACAACTGAGTCATAAAGAGCTTTTTAACTTCACACATATTTCTTGTTTCTGAACCACTGACCACACCTATGGTTTAATTACCCAACTCCAAAAGTACTCAGAAGCAAATGGAGGCATAAATGAAAAAAAAAGAAAAAAAAAAAAAAAGCAAAACTTCTCCAAATAATCTCTCAGCATTTACTACACATCTTTCAACAGGAGCTGAGCAACTTCACCATATACTGTTTGTGTTTTAAATGAGACCTGGTAAACTCAATCCAGTGTCCTCCAGTGATTGCACAGCATGGAACAGGGGCAAAAAAATTCTCTGATCTCCACATTACCTGTGGCTTACATATACTTTCCCTAGAGTACCATAGTAGATTTCCCATAGTTAAATATAACTTATCTGTGCTGGCTTCGAGTGGGACAGAGTTAACTGTCCCCACAGCAGCACATATGTTGCTACATTTTGGGTTTGTGGTGAAAAACCATCAATAATGCATCAAGTTTCAATGGTTGCTAACTGGTATTTGCCCACATTCCAGGCCTTTGCTGCTTCTTATGCTGCCCTGCCAGCAGAGGTGGGAATGTGTAAGAGTCTGGGAGGAAACACGGCCAGGAGAGCTGACCCAAAGTAGCCAAAAAGATGTCCTATATCCTGTGATGTTGCATTCAGAGGAAGAAGCTGATGAAAGGAAGAAAGCAGGAAGAATGTTCAGGGTGAATCTGTTCATCTTCCCAAATAACCATTATGTGTGATGGGCCCTGCTTTCCTGGAGAAGACTGTCAAGAGAGAAGAAGTGAATGAACTCCTTGGTTTGCTTTAGTTGCAGCTGCAGTTCCTGCTTCACATACTGAAGTATTTTTTATCTTGCCCACACATTTTTGCTCTGTTACCTTTCCAATTTTCTCTCAGCTGTTGTGGGGCTGAGATGCCTACTGAAGTCAGCTCACAGTATTAGCAGAGACCACATTAAAAAGAACTTTTCATCTTATGATCAGGGAATTTCATTTCCCTGATAATCACCAAAGCCAAATCACAGGTTAGAAGACAAAGAAAAAGTAGTACAGGTACAGGTTGAAGAGGCTAGGGCAGAACACTTTGGGTGGGGCAGGAAAATAAGTAAGATATCCACATTTGCCATTAATTTTTCTGCAGAGCACAAAAACCTTCTTTCTGCTGCATTCCACCAATTCTCAAAACTTGAATCAAACTGATTACATATCCTTTTATCTTCAGAGGCAGCCAATCTTTAAAATGCATCATCTACAGAAACAGCTTTCCAAGAAGCTAATAACTGCCTACACTGCAGTAAATCCCTGGGGCTGCCCTCTCCTATTTGCTTAGCAGAAGCCTTCAGAACCAAACAGAAGAATTCAGTGTAATTTAGGAAGAGTAGGGAGAGCAAATGTAGGAAATAAGGCAGCAGCTCTCACCTGAGCATTTACTGCCTGCTCCCAGGACTGAAAATTCCCCTCAGTCTCCTAATACTTGCAGCTGGACACTCCCTTCTCCCACTGTCTGAATTCTGGAAGCCTAGCCTAGCTAAATACCTGTGCTTATAGGCAAAGCAAACAGAAATTGTAAAAAAAAAAAAAAAAAAAAGTAATAATGCAACATGCCAAACCAGCCACGTGGGAAGAGTGTTCTGAAGGGCACTTATCAGACTGGAGACAGCTCTGGGAGAACTGCTCCCAAACCCAACCTTATTTCCACTGCAATGAAAAGCACTTAGGATACTAAAAAAGCCAGAGGAACAGTCAGAGTGTTTCAGCTCGGCAGTGCACGCGGGAGCCGACGCACAGCAGAGGACGCGGTGAGAATGCCGAGTCACACCGCGGCGCGCAAGCTGCTCCGGACGCATGCAGCGTTGCGGAGCCCTCAGGGGCGGCTGCGGCTACCGAGCCAGGCCCGCCCCGCCCTGCCGGGACCGACGCAGCCAGAAGCCGGAGCCCCGCAGCGCGGTCTGCAGTCCTCCCCGCGCCCAGCAGCACGGCGGGACCCACCTGTCGGCCCGCCGGCTTTCGGCAGCCGGAGCCTCATCCCTAGAAGCCGCCGGGGAGCCCTGCGGCTCCGCTTCCGCCGCGCCGCCGACACCCCTCCCAACGGGCCGCACATTGGGCTTCACGGCGAGGCGGGCTCGGCGGAACATGACGGCGGGTCGGCGGGAGGCGCGCCGTAGCCTGTAAGGGGGGACGGGCGGCGGAGCGGCAAAAACGGCCGGGCCGGCTCGCGCACGCAGGCGGCGCGCCGGCGCGGCCGTGACGTCACCAGTGCGCGACGCGGGCGCGGTAGAGCGCCGCAATGGAAACGCCCTCCTCCTCCTCACAGCCTGCGGGAGGCTCTGCTCCACCGCTCTGCGCCCGCCCCCAGCGCGCGGCATGCTGGTTGGGTGAAGCGCCGTACCCGATTCACGTGATGTGTGGGTCGGTAGCGCTTCATAAGGAGCGGGAGCGGGAGCGGGGGGTGGGGCGGAAGAAGGTTCTAGCAGGTGTCGGCTGTGGGGTGTTTGGCGTGCTGCGCGGCCCCAGCGTGTCGCGATGACCCGTGAGTGCCCGCAGGGCTGCTTGGGATGTGCTGCGCGCGCTGAGCAGCGCGGCTGTCGGGGTGTTTCGTTCCTCAGGGAGCGACGGGGAGGGGAGGTTGAGCAGAGGTGGTGGTCCGCGCCAGCGGCGGAACCGCTCGGCTTGCGGGCTGTCGTGTGATGGCGGGTACGCGACTGCGCCTGGCTTTGTTTGTGGTTAGGGCTGAAAGCGTTGTGAATTCATTCATGAGTAGTCTTCTGTTTTCTATATATCTGTGCTGAAACGGTGGAGAACTGTGAGCTGAATTTAGAGTGTTGCCTGCTTGGTGGGGTTGCTCTTTTGGCTTCTGCAGGTTGTATTTAACAGCACAGGAGCTGCCTGCCGTGAGGTGAGGAGGCACTTTGGGACAGCACAAATGCAGCTCTGAGTCTTCTGTACTGCTCAGAGTGCAAATGATGACCTGGATCACAAACAGCACACAGATCAGACCTTGAATTTGAGAAAGTGGCGGGCTAATGGCTTTTTATGGTGTTTGTTTCCTGTTGTCATAGCTGTGTGTTAAGGAATAAAGAGATGTACAGTGTCCTGCAGCCAACGATAACAGAGCTATAGCGTTACATTGTAAGGTGTTTCAGTTCAGTTCATTTCAGGTCAGTGCAGTGCCAGGATGCTAGAGAGGGGTAGCAGCTGTGGTATGCTGCCTCCCTGTTTGCTCTAAGCTTTAGTTCAGAAATACCAGTCACGTCTGGACTAGACTCTCATTTCAGATGTTCATCTGGTAAAATAGAATGAGACGGGGCTGCTAATTAGAAACTGTGCCTCAGAATTCATAAATTTGTGGTAGTTCTTGTACTGCCAGAATGAAAATGTGCAAATACCTGAGATGCCTGAAAATGCAATAAATCTGTGAAGATATTGGTGACTGGATGAAATGATGAATGGTTGTTATTTTTGGTTGTTTTTTTTTTTTTGGTACTCATCTTCCATTATTCCTTTGTGTTTGCATCAAACTGCCCTGTTTACTTCAGCGTTCTGTTTTCGGAACACAGTGGTGGTCAGTTCTATTCTGCTGGAGATCTGACATGTGATTAGGTCCTTTGCTGTTCAGAAAGTACTCCAGGGACTATGGCATCTCTACTCAGCCTTTACTGCCATGCTCTTTGGCCTCTGTCCAGGAAAAATGATTACAGCTTGTTCCAGTGCTGTACAGAAGTTTCTGCTTGCTTTTCTCTAAAAAGACAGCTGGATCTTGGAAATGGAAGAGCACAGATAGGCAGCACTAAGGCTATATGCCTTGCTTCCTATCAGAACCACCTTTCCTAGAAGATGTAGGTTGATGTATAGAATGTATAAAACAGCGTCATCACTTAAGAGATAGGAATATTCAGTCAGCATCTCAGGTAAAGTGCAAAGGGCAAATAGTCCTTATGATGTTTTCTCAGGAACAGAAATGGTACGAGTAAGTTTATTTTCAAACAGCAGCTTTTTTCTGCATGCTTAGTGTATATGCAGTGCTGCCGTACTTTTCCACCTGTTCTCCTTTGCTGTGCAGTAATAGCAACCAAGCTTTCCATTCCACCATCCAGCTTGGTTCTTGTGCTGAGATTATACATACGGGTATGGAATAACTGCAGATGCTGCTTGATTAAAGAAGGGAGTGTGTAAGATTATGAATGGAGGGTAGCTTCTGTATGAATTTTGTCTAAGTGTGTTTTGACTTCCCACTTTTTTTTCCTTCATGATACATATTTATTTAGTTTTTTTCAACCACCACATAAGACCTTGCTACTAATATACTCATGTGACATTCATGCACTAAGCACTACAAAACTGAAGAACCATTTATAGCCTGGAATGTATCATCTGCTTATGAGTCATCAAGTTCTAATCAACTCCCAATACTGCCAGAGATAGCCATTTCATTTCCGTTTCTGAAAAAATATTGACTGTTTCACGTGGCAGAACTCTGGGAAGAGGATCTCACTGAGTGCTTGTGAGAAGGATGGAGCTGAAATTCTTTTAGCTTTTGCAAAATGTAGTCAGTCTCAGGTGAAGTTCATCTTGAGAAGCAGGAGCAGCCCTCAGGAAGTAGCAGTGGTAATATGCTGTATGTTGCGCCTCTTGCCAGGGGCTATACAAACTGCTGTGAAGAAGGAACACTTTTGTCATGTTGGCATGGCAGTACGTTTATCAGCTCAGAAGTGGGTTTGTACAAAGCTGTGGATTATATCAACAGGAAAGCTTTAAGTTTTCTTCTTCGCCTTGTTCTGTCTCTGTATACCTGAAATTACAGGCATGTAATTGGAAAGATTGGTCTTGGAGTTTGAGAGATGGCATAGGTCATCTTAAGGATTTTCAGCTAATACAAAAGTGTTAGTGTCTGTGATGGCTGTGGCCATTACAAAGAAGACCTGGAGTGTTTGGCTGGAGAGATGGGACTGTTCTGAGCAGTTGCTGTGTTGTGCAGTTCTTCATGCTTTCAGGAGGGCTTTCAGATCAAAAAGATTGCAAGCCTTACTTCTTAGCAGCTAGTTCAGGGTGTTGATAGTTGTGGAGGAAGCTTTCTGTCCCCAGAGAGTCATCCTCTGTGCTGGCAACAGTGTTGTATGTATATTTTTAATAAAAATATATTCTCTTATTGCTGTCTGTTGAAAGGGAGGCTAAACACTTTGTAAGGCTGTGCTTGAGTACAACAAATGCACTGAACAAATGTACTCTCAAATGACTTACGGTCACTTATTTATTACTGTTCAACTGTAGTAAGTTGAATGGACTAACAGTGCCTCACATGCAAAGTAGGTAGACCAACAATGACTGTGTCCTTGCTGCCAAGGTATCACCTATATAGGGAAACTCATAAAAGGAGGAAGCTGTTAGCTTAGAATGAAATCAAAGAAGCATGCAGAGGAAGGAAAGCTATGAACAAAAGCCCACGGCAAGAACTTGCCTGAGTGTTTGTCCATGAAAACGATGGGACTGCCTTCTCATGTGAACAGTGTTCGGGGTGTCCACCCTGTGCAAGGACATTGTAAACACTTATTCTGGGGAGTGTGCTAAACTCTTTTTTTACTTATCAGGGTGTCTTGATGAGGATGTGGGGTTCTGATTGTGCATTAATTTCAACTTTGTGAACTCCACTTCTATTCCAAGGTTCTCTGTGTTAAATGCTTTGTAAAATTAATCCTGGGGTGAAACTGTCTCCTTTAGCCATACAGAGTACAGTGGAGCTGTCTTGGAGCAAAAGTCAGTTAAACTTCTCTTCAGCTGCTTGTATACTCCATCATCTTCTCTGCTTTCACAGTTCTAGGTGAAGGCAACTCTAACATTTAATAGTAGTCCTAACTGAACTTCTGGGATATGCATATACCGGTAATAGAATACAAATCCAATAAAATGTAAAGTAAAAGTTCTCAGATCTGAATTTACACCTTAACAATACTGGTCATTTTCTAAGTGGCATCTTTGGAATTGTATTTCTTCTACAAATCTGTGTGAGATTTGTACTGCTGTTGCAAAGTATGAGCAAGATTTAAAAGTTCAGGCTGCTTGACCACAAGACCACTGCTGAGTCTAGCAGTGATTTTTAGTGACAGCAACCACAGATGTAAAACAGGTAGATTTTTCTGAGTTCCAAATAAGTATGGCTATTGGCTGCTTGATTTCTTAAGAGGGCCTTGGGAAGAGTTTGAGGAGGCTTTAAAAGCTCCCTTAAGTTGCCTTAATTTTAATGCGGTTCTTTCAGTCTAAAATTAATTTGTAAGCCATATTGGATGGTGACATCATGTTTATAACTTTTTGAGGAAGACTCGTCATTGGAAGAGCAATCGTCATCATTGTGCCTGGCCTTGAATGCTTCCAGGGAGGGGTCAGTCACGGCCTCCCTGGACAAGCTGTTCCAGTGTCTCACCACTCTCACAGTAAAGAATTTCTTCCTAATATCTAGTCTAAATCTACCCTCCTCCAGTTAAAATCATTTCCCTTCACCCTGTCATGACCAGCCCTTAGTCTCTCCCCAGCTTTCCTGTAGGCCCTCTGGATTGTTGCCATAAGGTCCACCCAACGCCTTCTCTTCTCCAGGCTGAAGAGCCCCAGCTCTCTTAGCCTGTCCCTGTAGGGGGGTACTCCAGCCCTCTTATCATCTTTGCGGCCCTCCTCTGAACCTTGTTATTGTGTTTCTTATGTTGAAGCCCCAGAACCGGATACAATACTCCAGGTGGGGTCTCATGAGAGCAGAGCAGAGGGGCAGAATCACCTCCCTTGACCTGCTGGTCACACTTCTCTTGATGCAGCCTAGGGTACAGTTGGCCTTCTGGGCTGCAAGTGCACATTGCTGGCTCGTGCTGAGTCTTTCATCAGCCGACACCAACAAATCCTTCTCTTCAGAGCTGCTATAAAGCCATTCTCAACACAGCATGTATTTGTGCTTGGGTTGCTCTTACCAGGGAGCAGGACCTTGCACTTGGCCTTGTTGAACTTTGTGAGGTTGGCATGGGCCCCTGTCCAGGTCCCTCTGGATAGCATCCCAAAGGGCACTCCAGCATGTCAGCTGCACCACTCAGCTTGGTGTCAACTGCAAACTTGCTGAGGGTGCACTCAATAAGGCTTTCTTGCTTCACTGTGCAAGAGA